ATATTCAAATCATTTAAAGTTCAGTAAGCTTTAAAATCAGCAATAAACAGTAATACCTTATTATCTTTTAATGGCATTTATTCACTGCTGTAAATCAGAACAGTCAAATACAATTTGTATTAGCTTTTCACTTTTCAGAAGTCAAAAACTAATAAATAAAATAATCCAATGTGTGAATAGAGTACAGCTCACAACAATAATAAACTCAACATGAATGTTTTAATGCAGGGCTGATTGATGAGCTGATCAGTGGCAGTTGATGGTCGTCAGAAAGGTGGTGAGAGAGAGTGCTGTGTGTGTTCATGTGTGTGTGTGTGTGTGTGTGTGTGTGTCTCGTCATTAAGGTGACCGTGGCAACTAAGAAGTGGCGGGAAAAGAACAAAGAAAAACGCCATCGACAGACAATGAAACTAAAAACTGAATCTAAACCAGAGACAGACTTAAAACTAAAACAGAATTAAAAAAAACACACAGAACGTTACACTAATACATTTAATACAACATACTTACCATTTCTGCTCCAAATGTAACCCACTTGAAATGAAAGTAGTGCAGTGAATTCACTTAAATGAATACTTCCATTTATAATCTTCTAGAAATGTATACATTTATTTGCGTATGATGTTCCAAGTTCTTTACACATAGCCAACTGTATTATCTCAGACTCATTTTTAAAAGCAAACAGACAAATAACTTTATGGCAGATCTCTCTCTCTCTCAGTTTCATGTTTTGAGCCCAAACAAAATCAGTGCTTGGGATCGCACATAGCTAAATATAAAGAATTCGCAAACAGTCGGACTCGTAACCCAAAGGTTGTGGGTTCGAGTCTCGTACCGGCAGGGATTGTAGGTGGGGGGGAATGAATGTACAGCGCTCTCTCTCACCTTCAATACCACGACTGAGGTGCCCTTGAGCAAGGCACCGAACCCCAGGGCTCCGGGCTCCGCAGCATAAATGGCTGCCCACTGCTCCGTGTGTGTGTTCACTGCTGTGTGTGTGCACTTTGGATGGGATAAATGCAGAGCACTAATTCCAAGTATGGGTCACCATACTTGACCACATTTCACGTCACATGATGTTTTATGAGCGTGAGGTCACTTCTCTTTCAGTGCGAAAACTTTCTCATTTTCATAAAAAATGCTATAGTATTTCACTTTTTCTCTCCATCGGCGAATGATGATTCTGAAAGAAAATACGCCCAATGTCTGTTTGCTATAGCAACTAACGCTAGTTTCAAGCATCTGATTATCAGATCAACCTTGCGCTCTTATTTCAAGGTTGTTGTTAATGCTGTGGTTATTTTAACAGTTCCGGCAGGGATTGTAGGTGGGGGGGAATGAATGTACAGCGCTCTCTCTCACCTTCAATACCACGACTGAGGTGCCCTTGAGCAAGGCACCGAACCCCAGGGCTCCGGGCTCCGCAGCATAAATGGCTGCCCACTGCTCCGTGTGTGTGTTCACTGCTGTGTGTGTGCACTTTGGATGGGATAAATGCAGAGCACTAATTCCAAGTATGGGTCACCATACTTGACCACATTTCACGTCACATGATGTTTTATGAGCGTGAGGTCACTTCTCTTTCAGTGCGAAAACTTTCTCATTTTCATAAAAAATGCTATAGTATTTCACTTTTTCTCTCCATCGGCGAATGATGATTCTGAAAGAAAATACGCCCAATGTCTGTTTGCTATAGCAACTAACGCTAGTTTCAAGCATCTGATTATCAGATCAACCTTGCGCTCTTATTTCAAGGTTGTTGTTAATGCTGTGGTTATTTTAACAGTTTACTTTGTACATTTGGTTCAACAACATAGTTCCATTGAATGATGATTGTGTTTTAACAGTGCATATGCTTTAGACCAGTCACCAACCTTTTTAGGCCCAAGATCCCTGACCTCGGCCTTTATGAAAGACAAGATCTACCTACTGAAGAATTGATAGAAAAAGACATCCCAGATTGTACTTCAAATTTGAGGCCTTTTACTTGGTATTTTAATTAGTGAGGTGCTGGTCATAGCTGATTCAGAATTAAGATTTTCTTTTCTTTCTTTTTTTTTTAACTAGCAAATTGGATTCTGATACTGATACCGATTTTTACGCAAATTTATTTATTGGCTATTTGCTTTATAACAAACAAACTGGCTTTAAACAAAAATATCTAGCCATTTGAAATTAGAGGCAACCACTGCATTTTAATCACGATCTGCACGGGCAGTTGTTTTTGATTTGATTTAGATTAATTTCAGGATTTAAAACAAGAACAGAATGGTCTGACTTTAGGTGTTATTTATTTATTTGCTACATAAAACATCTGCACGAAACAAAAACAGCAGGTCTGAATGAGACACTCTCTGACAGCAGGTGGCGCTTATGAACAGGGTTGCCAGGTTTTCGCAATAAAATTAGTCCAATAGCGTTTCGAGGAGGGTTCGCCTGTAAAAATCGCATTCCGGGGGTAAAATACATGTTTTTCGGCAGGGATCTTCCAGTAAAATTCACATTCCAAGGGCTAAATATCACGTTATTGGGGTCGCTTCAACCCGCGGACATGAACAACAACCCGCGGCAACAGTGTTAAAGTAGCCCAATTCCGCGGGAAAACCACGGACTTGGCAACACTGCTTATGAACCGACCGCAATATAGCGTTTCCTTGTTTACCGCTGTAAACAAAGCAGCGCTGCGCTTTATACGGAGAAGAAAATGCCATTGCCATCGAAACTTTTCTCAAGACAGTTCCCTTCAGTGATACATTAATATAGCCCAAAAAATGTAATGCATTTTTGTACTTATTTTACTGTTATTTTCGGGATCTACTGGGACAGTGATAAAGATCTACCAGTCGATCGCGATCGACGGGTTGGCGACCACGGCTTTAGACACTTACATTTCTGCTCCGTCCATGCAATAAATATGCAGCCTTCGACTGCTCAGGTATTGTCGTCTGTAAGATGCCGAAAGCCATTGAAAAACTACAAAACTACTTCACTTTAGCATTACTGGCCACGAGTACTAAGGAGAGATCACACATCAGCTGCGTCAGTGAGACGAACGGAGAGCGAGCACAATCATGTGACAGTCACTGCAGGCGGGAAATAGTGGAGCGCGTGAAGGAGAGATGCGAGGCACGAACACTGTTCAAGGTCTCCATTAATTCGTGCTTGTAGAAATATGTGTATATATTTTGAAAGCATTGAATCGCTATAGAAATCGCGAGTCATTCGATTCTTAGCGTTTTAAATCGATTACAGTCCGAAATCGGCGATTTACGATTCAAAAATCATGTTTCAAAATCGATGCATATGCATCGTCAGGGTTTGTAATCAATGCATTAAGAAAACGAGTGAATCGTTACACCCCTACTGATTAAGCTGCACACACACACACAAACTTGTTGTCAACGCTTCCCTGTGATTTTCATTAATAAAATAGCCTAGATACTAGATCGCTACATTATATTCCCCAGCAACGAGGTGGTAAAATGTTTTTGAAATAATTGTTTGTACAGAGAGACGTGCAGACGCAGCAAGCAGGTACACACAACTGTCATCTCTCTCTGTCTCTCTCTCTCAAACGCTTTGCGTTGGGCGGTTCTTTGCCTCCACGTCGTGCATTTAAAATCTTTTAAAGCATGGCTAGCCGTTGATTATCCCTTACATACCGCATTACAGAATACCGGCACGTGTCTATTATAGGCTTGTTGTTTACACAACAAGTGTTCAAGTGTTACACAACTTGTTGTTCCCTGACAATTTTCAAGCGACAGCTGAAAACTCATCTCTTTCGAAGCTACTTGACTTCATCATAAAAAAAAAAAAAAAAAAAAAAGTATTGTCGTCTGTAAGATGCCGAAAGCCATTGAAAAACTACAAAACTACTTCACTTTAGCATTACTGGCCACGAGTACTAAGGAGAGATCACACATCAGCTGCGTCAGTGAGACGAACGGAGAGCGAGCACAATCATGTGACAGTCACTGCAGGCGGGAAATAGTGGAGCGCGTGAAGGAGAGATGCGAGGCACGAACACTGTTCAAGGTCTCCATTAATTCGTGCTTGTAGAAATATGTGTATATATTTTGAAAGCATTGAATCGCTATAGAAATCGCGAGTCATTCGATTCTTAGCGTTTTAAATCGATTACAGTCCGAAATCGGCGATTTACGATTCAAAAATCATGTTTCAAAATCGATGCATATGCATCGTCAGGGTTTGTAATCAATGCATTAAGAAAACGAGTGAATCGTTACACCCCTACTGATTAAGCTGCACACACACACACAAACTTGTTGTCAACGCTTCCCTGTGATTTTCATTAATAAAATAGCCTAGATACTAGATCGCTACATTATATTCCCCAGCAACGAGGTGGTAAAATGTTTTTGAAATAATTGTTTGTACAGAGAGACGTGCAGACGCAGCAAGCAGGTACACACAACTGTCATCTCTCTCTGTCTCTCTCTCTCAAACGCTTTGCGTTGGGCGGTTCTTTGCCTCCACGTCGTGCATTTAAAATCTTTTAAAGCATGGCTAGCCGTTGATTATCCCTTACATACCGCATTACAGAATACCGGCACGTGTCTATTATAGGCTTGTTGTTTACACACACTGTAGATACACATTTGTGTTCAAACGCCTTATAACACCTTATTTTTAAATAAAAACAGGTTTCTGAGCTTTTGTGTGTCAACTGAAACCTGCTGAATTTAACATGTAACTTAGAATAGTTTCAAAAGGAGCAAACATGGATCAGATAAATATTGATTGATGACAGGTTACATTTTACACACTTTTAAAATGATCCTCTAATTTCTCCTGCTGGTGGTACAGCGATGAACCCTCCTTACTGCTAAGTTGGTGACTGTTACCATTACTGAGGTGAGTTATTTAATCTGAAGTAAAACAAGAACACACCCATCACAGCTTGACATGCCATGACCTGCATAAACACACCCTCTGTAGGAAAAAAAAAACACATACCATCAGCAGAACAAGAAAAGCACAGAGCAAAATGGTAAGTTTTTTGAGATCGCCTTTGAAAACATCACGTCACAGTAAGTTCAATGATAGGCAGTTTTATATCATAATATTTAATCTGAAGTTTCCTCGTGTGTATCTTTAGGACATGAAGTTGTGGAAATTTTTTTTTAAATTAAATAGTTGCCATAAATGCTGCTTTGAGTTTGAATTTATGACAAGTTATCTATAAAAATAAGAGGCTGTTAAAAATAACCCAACTATTAAAGGGGTCATAGGATGCTACATGCACTTTTACAAGTTGTTTGAACTGAAATGTGTGTTGGCAGTGTGTGTACACAACCACCCTATAATGATAAAAAAAATTACAAATCTGGTTAAATGTTTTCCCCTTTCTCAAATCGAGCCGATCTCAGATGCCTGTCCCACGATAGTTTGATTGACAGTAGCGTTTCAGCACAGACTGGACTGGTGTCTTACCTTAGCTCCGCCCTGAGTCAGCTGTCATCAGTCCGCCATTGTTCACAGCCGGAGCAGATGTAGACAAGAATGACTCCTAAGCGATTGAGGTGTTCTGTTTTTGGATGTAATAATGAACAGCAGTCGTCATTTACTCTCGACATCTGAGCCGCTGAAGACGCAGTGGATTACATTGTTTCTGAAGGGAATGCTCCCCGATCTACATAAATGCATCTATGTTCGCGCGAATCATTCATGATCCAGCCTCATCTACAGAAGAAGTGAGTATAATGTTTTGTAATGAATCTTTCCTAATAATGTGCTAGTTAACAAGTTTCACGATGAATGCGGCTAAAGTAAACAGTCTCTCTGAGAGCAGCTCTGAAGGAAGGGGCGAGGTCAGCAGAGCTCATTAACATTTAAAGGGAAATGCTACAAAAACGGCGTGCCCTGAAAAGAGCTGTTTTTGACAGGGTAAAAAAGGTGTTTTTTACACTACCATTGAGAAATTTGAACCAAACTATGTTATAGACTTTTCATTAAGACCCTACAGAATCATATCGACTTGTGGAAAATGGGCATCCTATAACCCCTTCAAGTTATGCATTGTAACCCAGCAGTTCAGGGTGGTCATTGATTAGTTTGACTTTTTTTCTCAGTCTGTGTATGTATGTTTGTGAAAACGATTGTTAGAAACTCGTGCACAACAAAATATTCAATATAAGATGTTAAAAATGTAATCCATATAGCACTGAAGGAGAGAAAGGACAATGCTAACTTAAAAATGAGTCTCTGTGAGGGGAGAAAAGAGGAGGAGGATGTTGTTCACTACCAGAACCAGAGAGCATCATCTCCAGAGCCCAGCTGTGTGTCTATGAAGAGTGAGGAATCCATAGGGCAGCCTCCTAATCTGTGTGATGGAGTTGTGACCTTTAACCCTAGGTGAAACTATATCCTCCTTCATTTTTGTCTGTAGTTTTGTTTTAAATTCAGTTTCATTACGTGTTTAATCCCAGTGTCCTTGGTTGCTATACTTACTCATTGGTTCATTGATTAATCTGACGTGTTCCTTATTTTATTATCCATTTATACTGTGTATTTGTATTCTCCTGTTTGGTGCAGTTCCTTGTCTGTTCTTGTCAATGTTTGGTTTTGTTTACATTCCTGTTCATGTACCTGAGTGCCTTATTCTTTTTTTCTCTCTCTCTCTCTAAATAGACCCTTACCTCAGCTCTCGTCTTTGCAACCCCTGTGACAGTGTCATTTTCATTATTTAATAAGTAATGAGATACAGATAATTTTTGAGAAAATTAGCATTTTATAGACACGTTTTACAGTTTAAACAAACATGGGGAAACTTTTGCTAACTGTAATTTTAAAAAGCTGTTTATTGTGTCTCAGCTGATTTTGAATGTAGTTTTACTAAAAGATGTTTCCACTCATAGACATTCTCCTTTGTGTTGTAGTTCTTGTTTCTGTTGTGTTGATAGAGATGATCAGACTAGAGACCTGTTGCAAGATTTTCATGAACCAGCTGATGGTAAACTAAAGAGAGTCAAAGACCATCACAAAACCAGCATGAAGAACAAGTATGAGAGCTTATTTGAGGGACTGAAACTCCAGGAGAATGAAAGCCTCCTGAACAGGATCTATACACAGCTCTACATCATAGAGGGAGAGAGTGACGGAGTGAATGAAGAACATGAGGTTTTACAGATGGAGAAAACAGCCAGAACACAACATTCACAATACACTCCAATCTACTGCAATGACATCTTTAAAGCCTCAGCTGAAGCAGGATCTGAGGAGAAAGAGCAGATCAAGACTGTTCTTACTAAAGGCATCGCTGGAATCGGAAAAACCGTCTCTGTGCAGAAGTTCATTCTGGACTGGGCCGAGGGAAAAGCCAATCAGGATGTAGATTTCATGTTTGTGCTTCCATTTCGAGAGCTGAACTTGATCCGAGATCATCAGTACAGTCTTCACAGACTTCTGCTGGACTTTCATCCTGAACTTCAAGATCTGGACTCACAGATTTATGAGGAGTGTAAAGTTGTGTTCATCTTTGATGGTCTGGATGAAAGCAGAATCACACTGATGTTTTCAGACGCTCAGAAAGTGTGTGATGTGACTGAGACTTCATCAGTGGCTAGAAGCTCCTGGAAGAAGATCTGAGTGCAGAAATCCCTCAAACTCTGACTGAAATGTACATCCACTTCCTGCTGATTCAGATCAACATGAGGAAACAGAAGTATGAAGAGAGACATCCAGAGAAACTCCTGCAGACCAACAGAGAAGTGATTGTGAAACTTGCTGAAGTGGCTTTCAAACAGCTGATGAAGGGCAATGTGATGTTCTATGAGGAGGACCTGATTGAGAGCGGCATAGACCTCACTGATGCCACAGTGTATTCTGGGATTTGCACTGAGATCTTTAAGGAGGAATCTGTGATTCATCAGAGGAAAGTCTACAGCTTCATTCATCTGAGCGTTCAGGAGTTTTTCGCTGCTTTCTATCTGTTTTACTCATATGTAGTAAAGAACAATGAATTACTAAAATTGTGGGCTGAAAATTATAAATATGATCATGACTGTGTATATAATAAGCAGATGTTTGATGAATTCTCTCTGTATGGGTTACTAACAACAGCAGTTGATCAAACTCTTCTGAGTGAAAATGGGCACCTGGATCTTTTTTTGAGGTTCCTGCTGGGTATTTCAATGGAGTCCAATCAAAAACTCCTACAGGATCTACTGACAAACACAGAAAACAGCTCAGAGACAATCAGAGAAACCACACAGTACATTAAAGATGAAATCAAGACAAATGACAGTCTCTCCGCTGACAGATCCATCAATCTGTTCCTCTGTCTGCTGGAAGTGAAAGATCACACTCTGTACCAAGAGATTCAGGATTTTGTGAAATCAGACAAACACTCAGAGAATAAACTCTCTCCAGCTCACTGCTCAGCAATAGCCTACATGCTTCAGATGTCAGAGGAGGTGCTGGATGAGATTGATCTCATGAAATACAACACGTCAGATGAGGGGAGAAGAAGACTGATACCAGCTGTGATCAACTGCAGAAAAGCTCTGTGAGTATTCAGTTATGTTATCACAGGAAAAAAATAGTTTGAATTAGTTTGATTTTTTAGCTGCAGACAAATCACAACTATTTTTATTTATATTACACAAATGTGACAAATGATCTGTTCATTACACAGAATGTCTATTGACGCCATGTTGGCAGGGGCTATTTACACTAAATCTGCCCACCATTGTCTGGTTGAGCTAGACAAAATTACAAAAGAATCCCTGCTGTTGACAGGAGCAGTGGCGTGGAGCATAAGGATAGGGGATATACATTTTTGGTAACACTTTAGAATAGGGAACACATTCACATTTACCTAAGAGTTTTCCCTGAACAAACTCCTAATTTGCTGCTTATTAATAGTTAGTAAGGTCGTTGTTAAGTTTAAGTAAGGTGTAGGATTAAGGCATCTAAAATACGGTAATGCAGAATAAGGCATTAATATGTGCTTTATAAGTACTAATAAACAGCCAATATGCTAGTAATATGTGTTCTAATAAGCAACTAATTAATAGCTCAAATTTGGTCCTTAAAATAAAGTGTTACCAAATTTGTGAGACAAATGACCTGAGTTGAAATCTACAGATTTCCAATCCCATTCTTCTCCCATTATTCCCATCGCATATCAGCTCATAGATATTTTAAATAAATATGAAGAAAATGTTTTAATTCCAATATTAGTTACCTGTGAAGAACCATTAATGAGTTATAAACCTGTCCAAATGAACCTTAATATAAAGCGAGCACCTGTGAACCATTTATTACTGAGCTATAAATGTTAGTAACCTGTGAAAGTGAACCTCGATTTAAAAAACTATTTATTAGTGAGATATAAACATTAGTAACTTGTGAAAGAGAACCTTAATATAAAGTGAACACCTGTGAACCATTTAGTAATGAGTTATGAACATCAATAACCTGTGAAAGTGAACTTTAAAGTAAAGTGGACACACTAATCATTTATTAATTATTAATGCACACACAGAGGAGAGTTTCTTTCCTGGTGAAATTTATTTTATTGTTGGTGCACTATATCAGTAAACATTGACAAACAATAAACTTGAAACTTCATTACTGAACAGAACTGCACACAAAAAGTGGCTTATACAAGTAAACTCACATTAAATAATTCAGAAAAACAATCAAGTATTCCACTAAATTATAACTAAGTATCACATCTGTACAACAATAAATATGTGATAAATGCAAGCTGAATAAAGGCACCTAATTATTTATATTTAAAAAATAAATATATAACATTTATATTTAACAATTTTTAAATAATCATTAAATCAAGCACCGTTCAGCACCGCTGCTCCCTATATGCAGAGTATGCAGTTTACGTAGGGCACCAACTTCCAGGGGGGCATCATCTTTGTTGCTCAAAAAAAAAAAACCGTTCATTCCATATCAATATTACCATAAACACAAGTGTAAATATACACATAAATAAAAAAAAGCATTTAATGTTGAAAACAGTAAGCTCACATGGCACATTATTAGACTATTTTCTAAGGCTGCACAATATATTAAAACTATTTAAAAATAATCATAATATAGCATAGCATAGTGCTATCATTTATGAACCTATGCTAACACCGGAGAATACATCAGTATGTTTCTAAATATGTGAATTATTGTGCATTGCGATTTCAAAATAGAATTTTAAACCCTCTCTCTGAGTTTCCATGTTCTGATGTCCACTTGTTCTTGTTCAAGAAATTAAAGTGGCTGTAGCATTTCCATCGTAAAGAAGTGGCCAAACATTAAAGATTATGTGGACATTTGAATTAAATGTTTGGCCAATATTGAACAAGGATTTGATCACACTGTAAAGGGAAAGAAAAAAAAAAGTATTAAAAACAATCAATGGCCATTGGTGCCCTTTGCAGGCATTTGCATGTAATGTAATACAAATAATATAAGTGACTTTTTTCCATTACGTATTTTAACAATGTTGTTCAACAAAACCATAAAATTACTTGCATTTGATACTTTATTTGAATCAATTAATATTGCATCGTTGTCATTATATTCATATTTTAAATCATTTTAAAGGCTGTTGTTCACTTAGGTCTGTTTTTATTACCACAAAAAAACTATCAGATTATTCGATTAATCGTCAAAATACTGGACCAATTACTTGATTACCAAAATAATTGTTAGTTTAACATGTATGAAATTGTACTTTGTGTAAATCTACACTTGTAAATAATTTATATATATATATATATATATATATATATATATATATATTAGGGCTGTCAATAGATTACAATTTTTAGTCTTAAACACCCTTTTTTCTGTGATTAATCACAATTAAACACTTCACGAATTAAAGCATAGACAATTTATCTTGTTTCAAATGTTTGTTTTGTCATCAAGTAAACCTAAAGATTGAAGGGTGATTCTCAAAAATCTGTATTTTCTGCAAGATTTTTTCAAGATAAATTTAGATCTTTACAAAAAAGGGCACTTAGAAACTCCAAAAAGACACAAAAGAACCAATTGATATAAAGAGCCCATATAAGTACATACACAAAAATCAGATTTGATTAGTATGTGTACAGTGCAACAGCAAAGAGCTTTTTTTACAGAAGAGAGAAGTCAAGTTGCAATACCGAACAGGACCACATGGTGATGCCAAAAAAAACTAAACCAACCGCCTGCTGACTGCATATATCTACTACAGTACACGGATCCATTCAGTATAACTAAACACAGCAACTTACACATGACAAATCAAAATATCGTGAATGTGTGTGGAAACAGCGTGAATGTACGGAAATGTCTGTGCCTGTGCATAAATACAATGTGCGATCAGTGCGTCAAGAGCACTCATACATGTATTATTATAACGGACTCACACGTGCTTACCGTACGACTCCTGCTCGCCACCACAATCGTCTTTACCTTGATTGCAGTCTTCATCCATCCAAAAAATGCAGTGATACTTTTAAATGACTAAACCACCATTAGGTGGCGGCAAATATCTGTTTTAATGAGTGAGTCATTTATTCATTCATTCAACCGATTCACAACAATACAATTCTGCTTAGGGCACCCATTTGGCCAGCAGCGGCCCTGGAACCGTTACAGAACATTATCATATTAATGAGCAAACAGTAACGATTTCTGATATCATAATAAAGCCCATTGTAACTTGAGTATTTGACCATCCACACTTGCAGTACCTGTGTGCGAGCGAACAGTCCACAGGAGTGACAGTGTGGTTATTTATTTGTATGGTAACTAATTAATTGGAACTAACAAAGCGATTACACATATAAACACTTGAAAAACATATTCTGTAATGTCACCTTGCAGTTAGCTTACCCGTAAAATCAGTAAACATTATGTGAGATTAAAATACTGAGCAAGTTGAAACAGTTTTCCGCTTCGCGTCAGGGTCTTGATCACCCTGTTGGGAGTTATTTTGTGATAACAACCGTCTGGAGGTACATGATCCTGTGTATTGCACGGCTACTTGCCACATAAGTATATAATTAGACACAAAATATTGATTTGAGTTGAAATATTTGAACGCAAAGCATCTGTGAAGACAGCAGTTGCTAGTAAGCGGCAAGTTCAAACTAGACAAACATTTAAGGGATACAGTGCAGTCAAACCCCTTATTACACAACATTTCACCACATAAATCATTATCTTTTATTGCCATAATTATTTAAGACAAAACTGTTTTAAAATCTTACCAGTATGTTAGTTATCTTATAACCCATTACAGAGTCCAAAACAATTGTGGCAAAATGGCAGCAGCTGTGTTTGTATGAAATGAGAGAGCGAGTCTGCGATACCAGGATGACATAATTAAATAATTTATATATATATATATATACATATACATATACATATAGCGCGGACTTCAGTAACCCGGATGAGCCGGTGTTATTAACTTTTACCGGTTGTTATAGAGGGATAACATACCTCGGAATGTTGTGACTGACCAATCAGAATCAAGTATTCCACAGAGTCGTGTAATAAAACTCATTAACAAATGGCTCACAGGTGTTCACTTTAAATTAAGGTTCACTTTCACAGGTTATTAACTTTTATAACTCATTAATAAATGGTTCACAGGTGTTCACTTTACATTAAGGTTCAATTTCACATGCTATTAACTTTTATACTTGACTCATTAATAAATGGTTCACAGGTGTTAACTTTAGATTAAGGTTCACAAATAACTAATATTGGAATTAAAATTTTCTTTATTAATATCTCATGAAGTCATGGTTGTGCTTTTACGTCCCCTATCAGTTTTTAATCATTGCTGTGGATAGGCATCATGAACTTTTGCCAAGTACCATGGGTAAGATACAGAGTAGCTTCTGGTAAGAAAAATTGTAAGTGATACGAGTCATTAGATATAAATAAGAAAAACATAAATACAACACCCTTCAGTCTCACTGTAATAATCTATTTTTGCTGCATCATGAAATAAATCAAGAATCTGGTTTTGAGTGAAAAAAAGTATGAGTAAATATATTTATTATGCATTTATAACATGTGAGTTAAAATGGCTCACTATTTGACAGGTATTGCATTAAAATCACCCTTTTTATTCATGCATTTATAACTGCTTATCAGTGATTTATAATGCGTTTGTAAATGAGATATTAGTCATAAAGAGAATCAATTCTCATTAATCAATTTGATTAACAAGTGTTAATAGTTAATCAAAAAGGGAATTAATGTAGCGTTACCAATAACTTTTGTTACAGAACAAATACAATTATGACAATAGACAGACATGACAAAAATACAAAATAAAAACAAAGAACAAATCCTCCAAAACAGTTCCAACTATTCTTACAAATTTTACTGGATTATACATTTCCAAAAAGAAAATCAAATACAAAGAGGAACTGCTACTCATGGATTTTCTGATTCAGTTTGACAAAATTGTTTCATTTTATCACCAACTTGTTTAAGCAATATAAAAGCATAAAAATATCTGCACAAAAACAAACCTGGAGGATTCTAGCTTTCAGCTGTTCCAGCATCATTCCTGTCCTCTGAAAATTCAGCCTTCAATAACTTCCATTACCTTGGTGTCGTTCCTTCGTACACAGTATTTTAGACAGTACCAATCACATTGCTGGCTGTCTTTAAATCCATCATGAATTGGTTCAATAACACATAAGGCTCATAGGGATAATGGACTTGCAATTGTAACCAACCAAAAATTAGACCATTGCATTGATAGGTGGTGTTTCAGTCAGCTGAGAATGCAGGTGGTGAATGCAAGTCAGAGAGTGTAAGTCAAAGGGTGCAAGTGCAAGTCTGCAGCCAGACCCTTCTCACTGTGCTTCATCACACACTTCCAGCTTACCTATATATTTAGATGGCCTCTTGATCAATCATGATCTGTGTTCAAAGACCTTCATATTATTATGTGATGAATAAAAGACTATTACATTGTCATGCACAGAATACAGAAAACATGTCATCCTCTGTTACAGACTTGCTGGATGTGGTCTCTCTGGTCAGCATTGTGAAAGTTTGTCTTCAGCTCTCCAACCATCAAACTCCTGTCTGAGAGAGATTGACCTCAGTAACAATGACTTGCGGGATTCAGGAGTGAAGCTACTCTCTGCTGCACTAAAGAGTTCACACTGTCAACTGAACATACTGAGGTTTGACTTTCACATTCACAAATATATGTAATAACAATTGTAATAGTGCTTGTGATTAAAGGAAAGAGATTAAAAGAAGATCAGATTAGCAGAAATATTTCCTGTAGTTTGATGATTGACCCAATGTAAATAGTAATGAGCTTGAGGTATTACTGAATTGTAAAAATGGTCTTATGTTATATAAATGCAGCTACTGTATAAAAAATATCACTGTAATATTTTAGCACTGTGAGAAGGTAAACAGAGAGTGTTATGCAAAATGCAAGTTTAATACTGTGATGCTGAGCTAATGGCAGTAGTGATGATGATTAGGAGTCTGTGTCTCATCATAAACTTTCAGACATGTCATGCTCTTTTACAGACTTACTGGATGTGGTCTCTCTGATCGACACTTTGAAGGTTTGTCTTCAGCTCTACAATCATCAAATTCCCGTCTGACAGAGCTGGATCTGAGTAACAATGATATGCAGGATTCAGGAGTGAAGATGCTTTCTGCTGGACTGAAGAGTTCACACTGTCAACTGAACATTCTGAGGTTTGACTTTCACATTCACTCACTCACTATGTTGAAATGTGTGTATGAATAGGTGTTTCATAACTATGGCTAGCAGATTCTTTCCCTTGCATAGTAAAATAAAATTTAGCATGAGTTTGGCTTTATTTCTTTCATACATGTACAAAAGTTCTAATTGAGCATTAACGGAGGTTTGGCTTTAGTAAATGTTGATGTTTTGTTGAAAATAGTAGTTTAAATTTCATCGTAATTAGTGACCAACTAAAACACTTGGCCCTTGAAATTTCATAATAGTTTTCATCTGGCTGCTGCAACAGAGATTTGTTTGTTTTTTATTATCAAAGTATTATCAAGTATGATCAAAACATACTTTATGGCACATGACAATTATGCTTAGTTTATGTTAAACATAATTGCATTACAAATTTATGGGTCTCCTATTACAGTTTTGCTTTTTTATTGCTACTACAACAGTCTTATGGCAGTCATGAGCAATGTTCCCTCTATTTTTTTCTTGCTGAGCAAAACTTTTCTGTATTGAGTGGACATTTCAGCCACCTGAGCAAAAACATGCTTTATACTTGTAGCGTCTCGACCAATCTGACACACTAATTTTTATTTGATTTAACAAATCAATTATTCATTAGATTAACAAATCGTCACAGTCCCCTCATTCAATAGACTGGATGCCAGGGCTTCGGCTGAACACCATCCCCCACCTTGATCACCATGACAACTAATCATGATATCACTGGTTTTATGGCCTAAAAGGAATGCAGGGGAGAAACTCCCTCATTTTACTCATGAGAAAGACACACAATGCCCAGAGAAATGGACTGTTCTCTAATTAATTCATAGGAAAACCTTTCTTTGATTGAATACCCATATCCTTTGGTCATTGTGTATACCATTACTGTCTTGTATATTGTCTGTTGTAACTTTAATGTTCTATTTACATTTGATTTTACCCTTGATGTAACTAAATGATGCACATTTTAGGTCACCTGAGAAAACATTTTTTTACAGTGCCGTGTTGCCAATAAATTCTATTATTATTAGTTTTTTAAATTTCATGTAGTACAGTAAAATTCTAATTATATTATACAGCTAATATAAAAAATTAAGCAGTTATTGCTCATGAATTCTTTTTTTGAGGTCAATATAATATAAAAAACAAATATGTTCAATAACTATTTTTAAAAAACGTGAACATGTGAATTATTTTGCAGTTATCTAAAACATCCCTATATAGTAGAGTTTGTAGTAGAGTTTTGTTACCGTTCTGTGCCCATCATCCGCTTTTTCCACCACTTAATCAAGCCACTCTTCTTTAAAATATGATGACGTTTTATTTCACATGTCATTAATGGCTGCAGACAAAATAGCTCAACACGAGAGCTAACGCAAACGTAAAGTATTTGATTTCTGAAGTAACTGGTAACCGAGCCGGGGCAGATTCGGTGGAACTGGAGTCATTGGGACAGGGAACAGCACTCCTGGCCGTGACGAGGGAACTGGAGCAGACTCAAGTACTGGAGCAGGCTCTGGCACAGACTCATGGACTGGAGTAAGCTCAGGAGCTGATTCAAGGACTGGAGCAGGCTCTGGCATGGACTTGTGGACTGGAGTGGCCTCAGGAGCTGATTCGAGGGCTGGAGCAGGGTCTGGCACGGACTCGTGGACTGGAGCGGCCTCAGGAGGGGTAACAGCAGTGAGTAGCCCAAACACACAGGATGGTTACTGCCATTACAGGGAGCACTGAGCCCAGGGAAACAGTCTCTGTGAGGACCAGTGCTGAGGCCCTTGGGATGCCCGCTGCTCTGGCCAAAACCAGCGGTGGATCCTCCACACTGGATGCCAGTCTCGGACGCCTTGGGACTGACCTTGAGGAACTGGGCATGGTCGACATGGCGTGAAGAGTCTCTGGGACGGTGGCCATGATGGGACAAGACTCTGGAACGGTGGCCATGATGGGACGAGACTCTGAAACGGCGGCTATGACGGGACGAGACTCTCAATGATCAGCTGTGACGTGACGAGAATCAGGAAGATCAGCTGTGACTAGACTTGGCTCTGGGAAGGCAGCCATCTTGTACATAGATTCTGCTTCTCCCACAGTGAGAGGGGAATCACACATTTGCAATGCAATGTCAATATAATGTACAAATGTCCAATTAGAGTCATGTAGTGGCATTAGGGAGCTGAGCGGCTCGGAAAGCCCTCTGCAAAAAAAATAAATCATTAAACATATCTCGTCCCATGAGGTTAAGTGAGCCAGTTCAATAAATTCCACTACATACTTTTCAATCGGTTGATTCCCCTGTCAAAGACGCATGAGCTGTGTGACTGGGTTCATGTTAGCTGGTCTGGAAACACTCACAAAGCCACTGGATCCGGGTATGGCTGGTGATTCTGTAACGAAGGGAGTCGTGTCGACGAAGCTGGGGATCCAAAAGCAAGGCTTTATTCCATAGAGCGTAATCAGAACAGGCAGGGACAAACACCAGCAAACAAAAACATCCAAGGCACAGGTCAAAGAGTAATCCACAAGAAAAGCAAAGGTCAGGGCAGACCTGAAGGGGACTTCAGTTTAATATTCATATCAGGCAGATTTCTTTTCTTAACAAAAGCCTTAAAATATATAAACTTTTCTTTCCAACATGACGCTCCCTTGTGTGCGACATAGCGTATTTCTCAGAGTCAAGCTATATTTAGTGAGCCGCCGCCCCGCAGCACCCCCTCCCGTTCCTGTCTCGGGCATGCAGCGCCAGTCCCACCCCCATGGCTCGGGCAGAGGACCCCCGACAAAACCATAACACCGGCAGGCTATGCTGTTTACAGAGTCGACCGCAGTGCTATGGAATGCTGTAAAACTTGCGGGGGAGGAACAGCTATCCTCATCAAACAATCCTGGAGCACCGATTACACAGTAATAGCACGGTCATGTTCTGAAAACGTGGAGTATATTACTCTGAAGTGCAGACCATTTTATTTGCCTAGAGAACTGCAGTGCGTTATATTAAGTACAGTGTATATTCCTCTCTCGGTCAAAGAGGATAACGTTCTTAAAGAACTGTATGACAGGATCAGCAGGCATGAAAACTTATATCCAAGTGCTGCTATTATTATTTTAGTAGACATTAATCATTGTGATCTCCAGAAAAGCATCCCTAAATTTCACCAGTTTGTTAACTTCCCCACCAGGGGAAACAGCACCTTGAATAAATGCTATGGCAACATTAGACGTGCTTATACTGCTGTCTCCAAGCCACATTTTGGGAAATGTGATCACCTCACTATTCTGCTACAGCCCACCTACACAAAGAGGCTCAAAGCAGATCCAGACACAGTAAGGACTGTGAATATGTGGACTGAGATGTCAACCCCTCATCCATGTCTACAGAGGCCTTGTTGAGAGCATCCTCACCAGCGGAATTACAGTGTGGTATGGCAGCACCACTCTGGCTGAGAAGAAATCGCTGCAACGGGTCATAAAAACTGCAGAGAGGGTCATCGGCTCTAACCTCCCCATCTATGGACATTATTTTCACACAGTGTTGCAGGAGGAAAGCATAGAGCATCCTAAGTGATAAACACCACCCAGCCTATGCTCTGTTCAAGTGGGTGGACACAGGCTACAACTTGAGACACCGTAGGCCTGTAAGCATCAGCACTCACAATGCCCGTTTGTATAATAGCTTCTTTTCAGCCACAGTCAGGTTAGTGGCACAAGACATTAAGGAGAGAAAGAAGTACCCCATTCCACAGTCATCTATCACTTTGAACAATTAACATCCTTTCAGTAATTCCCGTTCCTATAAATAATTAAACACTTAACATCCAACTCATTTAGATAACCCCCCAACCCTCATATATAATGTTTTGTTTTGTGATCGACCACGTATAATCATGTACAACAGTGTATTAATTTGTTATTTTTGTGTGCAATATTACTGGTCCTGTGCAAAATGTATGTTCTGTGCCATATTATTTATGTACAGTTAAGATTGTACAATATAACTTATTCTTTCTCCCTTAATGTACTGCTCCTTACTTTTCTCTAAAAGCTGACTCTGAGAAATGCACAAGCATTCCAATGTGCTTGTACTGTAATATACCTCTACAAATGGCAATAATTTTCAAAATTAAATTTAAATAGAAATAAGGAATACAAGAACTTTTTTTTATGTCATATTGGATCAAATTAATAATGTAAATGTTTGATTACATAAATTCAGTTTTTTCAGAACCCCACAGATCAGTTCAAGTCTGTCAGCCAGTTAATGGATGTTGTGACAAGAGTTAATTACTTCCTGCTTTATTGTTCTGTTTAGATTGGTCATCTGTAATCTCACTGGTAAGTGCTGTGAAAGTTTGTCTTCAGTTCTACAATCATCAAACTCTTGTCTGAGAGAGCTCGACCTCAGTAACAATGACCTGCAAGATTCCGGAGTAAAGCTGCTCTCTGCTGGACTGAAGAGTTCATATTGCCAACTAAACATACTAAGGTTCGTGTTTCATAACTATGGCTAGCAGATATTTCCTGTCTGTCAAACACCACTGGTACAAAACTCAGTTCTTTGAGTACCACAGTCCTGCAGTGTTTAGCGTTGGCACTGATTAAATGCATCTAATCCAGCTGATCAATAAGCCATTCAGTATTATTTGAGAAATACAAATGTATGTGTTTAAGCAGTGTTGGAATTAAACTTTGTGGCCTTCCAGGAGCTAAATTTATCACCCCTGCTCTAATCTTTCACTGAAATGTTTGGGCTTTTAACTGTTTAACTAAGGCACTTTTTTTGGATTTCAGACAGAATTAGACACACCTTAATTTTTAAAGACCCCTTACCCACATATCTGAACAAATCAACAAATCTGAGATATATAATGTAAAAAATATATAAATACTGCTCTTGCACTTTCAAAGGTACCAAAAGGAATCTCTTTCCATTTTCAAACCGCCTTCTTACATAATTATTTGTTCATCACAATGGTGTCCAACCTGAAGTATTTGTAAGATGTAAGCTCCGGGGTGTGGCTTAAAAAAAAGTTATTAGCACTTTATTATATTTGTTTGTGAGGTGTGCTGGTGGCCACTCAAGTCTAAACTGTAACACAAATGCAAATTCATAAATGCACATGAGAATTTGTGGATTTGTTGTGCATATGTCAAGGTCCAAAAGTTCAAAATCAGTCTTCTTTTCCGCATAAGTTTCTCTTACCGAGCCATTGCTGGGGTAACTGCAACATTCAGTATCACTTTGATAAATGAGGTCTTCCTAAATGGATTCCATGTCAAAGCACCTTTTATGTAGTCTTTTCTAACCCCAGAAAAAAGTGAGGGTAATCCTAATAATCTGAGTTATGCTTAATGCATCTGCCTCACCAGGTTATGAAAAGGATATCTCTGCCTTTAAATGGACTACAAGCTTTATGGAAGTGTCTAAACTTGCGATCATCAGCTTTGACATAATTTGTCATCATTAACTTATTTTCCAATATATATTTATATATTTATTTATATATATATGTATATATATTTTCCAATCCATAAATTGTCATTTATGGTTGCATTGCATGTTTTGATCTGAACACCTGAGACATATTAGGAGGGACCAAGGATATTATAGTTTTGAATTTTTAAATTCAAATTTTATTTTAATATCGTTTTAAAAGTTAAACTAAACTGAATTAATGGTTTTGTTAGTTTTAGTTTAGTTTTTATTTTATTTTTTGAACACATTTCTATTTAGTTTTTATATATTTTAGTTTCAGTTTTAGTAATTATAGTTTAGCAGAGTTAATGGAACACTTCCAGTGTAGACCAAAGCAAGACATTTAATTTTAGCAAAGTTGAATGTTTGCACAGTTTACAGTTAACTCTTGTGCAAACCTCTTAATAATGAAAATAAAATAATTCTTTACAATTGAACAAAACGCAAAAATATGCTATTTATATGTATAAAATGTATTTATTCATATTCATGTTGATATTCATTCATATTAAAGATAAAATCTTGTTAAACATGCCAATAGCTTACAAACAACAAGCTAATCAAGGTTTTCAGAGTTACTAGAAAGCTAGTTTTTTTTTTTACAATGACCCTCCAGTGCTGGATTTGAGGAAACCTGTTCTTTGTAATCGTCATTGAAACTCTTTAAACTTTATTTTTGTCCATCTGTGTTTTCAGTGCATTCATTTGTTGGATCTTTTGCACAGACGAGCCACCGGTGTACACTACTGTATATCCTGTCTCTCCCTCTATGAACGTACACAATAAAAAAAAGAAACAATCTAAAATGCTTTGAAACCTCATTCTACTCAAAACTAAATGTGATATGGTGATTTAAATTATGTTTGCACTTTACTTTGACGAGCCACTCCAGCATGCACGTGCTTCAGTTTAGCAACGCAATCAATCCCAGTTCTAAAGCTACACAGGACACAGCAAGCGGTGAAAACACCGCGCAGCTGCCGCTTTCTCTCATTTTGGATGCGTTTTGTTCGGTCAAAGCGGTGCTCGTGTCATGGACTTGAGGCGGACGTTGCCATAGTAATTGTAAATGACTATTCACCTCATCCAAAAATTTTAATTCTGTGTCTGTAAACTCACTCTCATGTTGTTCTCGCACGTCAAGCACGCTTTTAAACATACGTGCGCTGTAGGGTGTGCATCATTATTATTTCCCATGTCATATTTTATAGTTATTTATTTCCCATTTCATTTCCCGCATCTTGTTTTTTAAATGCAAAAACGCATTCTCTGTGAATAGAATAGCCGCTTAGGCTCACGTGCATGAAGCTCCATCTACAGGTATTTCCCTAAACAACCACAGGTCAGACTTTCTGGCACAGAATGAGAGCTTGTTAAATCACGAACACGATTATTGATTTTTTGCTAATTATTATTTTATTTTAGTTCGTTTTTCAATTGCTGTTGTTAGGTTAGTTTAGTTTTAGTTTTTCATTTATTTTGAAATTTAAATTTTATTTCAGTTTACGAAAATCTTGTTTTAGTCTTAGTTTCAGTTATCGTTTACGAAAATAACCTTGGGAGGGACTTTTGTCCATGCAAGCTCACAGACAAGAAAATAGGCTTGTTGGGGCTGTTTTCTTCAAAATGAGTCTAAGTAAATGTTCAAATAGCTTTCATGACTCTTTATAGTTCTTGGAAGTAGTAGTAGTAAATTGGTGCAGTAATGTGTGTTTGTTTGTCTTTCGCCTCATCATTACTTTTTTGGTAATTATTACATGTAGCGTGTTAGATAAATGTTATGCCTAGTCAAATTACATATGAATGATATAATCAAATATAAAATCTCAAAGAGTACAGATACAAATATTTCCATATATGTCTGATTGCCAAACCAAACAGATGTCATATGGACTGTTGCTGTGTGTATTTGTAGGTTGTCTGGCTGTATGGTGACAGAAGAAGGCTGTGGTTATGTGTCTTCAGCTCTGAATTCAAACCCCTCACACCTGAGAGAGCTGGATCTGAGCTACAATCACCCCGGAGATTCAGGAGTCAAGCTGCTGTCTGAGATACTCAGCCATCCAAACTGCACACTAGACAAACTCAAGTATGTTGAGCAGAAATAATCACACTGCTGTGTGTGTGTGTGTGTGTGTGTTTGTCATATTAGAATGTGACATTCTGTGTGTTTTATAGTGTGGATCATGGAGGAGAATTCAGGATTACAGCAGGACTACACAAATGTACATCTGCACACAGACACACACTTTTAGTGATTGTTGTTGTTTTGATATAAATGTTCTGGTAACACTTATAATAAGGTTCATTAATTAACATTAGTTAACTACTTTAGTTAACATGAACTAACAATGAACAATACTTCTACAGCATTTATTCATCTTAGTTAATATTAATCTCAACATTTACTAATGCATTATTAAAATAAAAAGTTGTGCTTGTTAACATTAGTTAATGCACTGTGAATTAACGAACTAACAGTGAACAACTGTAGTTTAATTAACTAACATTAACAAAGATTAATAAAAACTGTAATAAATGTATTGTTCATTGCTCATATTACATTATTACATTAGTTAGTTATTACATTAACTAACATTAACTAATGGAACCTTATTGTAAAGTGTTACCAATATTCTTTCTTTTTTCTTATTTAGATGCCTGTGATCTCACACTGGATCTAAACACAGCAAACATTCATCTCATTGTGTCCGAGGAGAACAAAAAGGTGATACATGTGAAAGAGGATCAGTTATATCCTGATCATCCAGAGAGGTTTGATGAGTGTAGTCAGGTTCTGTGTCGAGAGAGTCTGTCTGGACGCTGTTACTGGGAGGCTGAATGGAGTGGACATGATGCTGATATGTCCGTCACATATAAAGGTATCCGCAGGAATGGAGGGAGTGATGATTGTTGGTTTGGATCCAATAAAAATTCTTGGAGTCTGATCTGCTCCGATTTTGGTTTTACTGTTCGTCACAATAAGAAGTTCACTGTCATACATGTCCCTTTGCGCTCCTCTAAGAGAGTAGGAGTGTATCTGGACTGGTCTGCTGGCACTCTGTCCTTCTACAGCATCTCTGACACACTCACACACTTACACACATTCAGCTCCACATTCACTGAACCTCTCTATGCTGGATTTGTAGTTTGTGAGGGTTCCTCTGTATCTCTGTGACATCCTGTGAAAAGCCTGTGAGCAACAAAAGAGACACACACACACACACACCTGACTAAAAAGAAATCCTCTCACTTTATATATTTGTCCTGTCAGTTACCCAGCATTTTTTTGCATTTACAAGATCTCTGGGTGGTTTTGTGTACATTTACTCTCAAGAGATTTTGCAATTATGTGAAACATATGTGGTGATTTGTTCTTTGCTAGTTAGGTCCAGAATTATGTGAAATATTACATGTTTTGTATGTGCTCTCATTAGGGCCTTTCGCACCGCAGGAACCTTTTCATAGTACCAGAACTAATTGTGGAACTACCCACTTTTCGGCGTGTTCGCACCACCGGAACTGGGTGTGATTTTAGTCCCGGAATGCCTTTTTTTGAGAACCAAATTAGCTCCTACTCCGGAGCAGGGT